TTCAGAAACTCTGGGCTCTATCAGAGGCTGTCAGAAATGTCAGCCAGTTGGAAGTACCCTTGGCTGCCCCAGAGGATGTTGTCTCTGCACCCTGTGGTGGGGTTAGGGGGCTGCACACATACTCTTCACACACACACACACACACTCACTCACACACACACACACACTGGACCAAATGCCACAGCTTCTTCAGTGCCAGCACTGTGTATACCTGCAGTGAGCAAACTGTTAAGCTGTCCCTTTTTTTATGAACTATGTTATTGTTAAATGTGAATTTTTCCATAAATAGGTGCTCCTGCGGGTCTTTTTCATTTCAGTGGGTAAAAAACAACTGGACACCACGTATTTTTCTCAACACTGTCCCCTGCTAAAAGATAACAGAAGGAATTCATTTTTCTATTTTTGCTGAACTTCTACAGATGTAGCTCTCACCTGGCCTGGGCCAGATGCTTCCTCAAGGAAACAATATCTGCTCTTTTTCCAGCCTGGGTATGACAAACTGGCAAACTCTGGAAAAAAGTGCACAAAAGCAAAGACTTAAAAGCAAAAAGATAAATAGTTATCCTTTTGTCTTCTGAGGTGCTCTGGCACCTCTTCATCCATGAAAGTCTCTGCTGCATCCCCATGTGACCTCTGCAGAGGCAAACCGGGCAGCAGGCCAACAGAAAAAAAATTCTCTGTCTAATATGACATCGCTTATGGAAATGACAGATCATCAGGCAATTAATCTCCAAATAATTAACTGCAATGAGTACACAAAAGTCTCCTTGTGCAAGATAAACTGTTTTGTACAGTATAAACTAGATAACAGGGTGAGATGGGTCTAAATGTGGGCATACTGATTAGCAGTCGCACCTTGCTTCTTCCTGTGGAATCTGGAGGTTTGCTGTAAACAGACCGGTCCCCTGTCTTTGGTGAGTCATCTGTAGTCACCTATGAATAGATCATCAGACAGAAAGCAAAGAGGGATTAGTTCAGACTGGATTTTTAATCTCCTGATCTTTTTCAGTTTATTCGCTTAGGCATCGGAAAACAAATTAAATCCAAGGGATAGCACATTAAAGTAAGAACATTTATTTCTAACAAGATCTCAAGCTGTGAAAAAGAAACGGAGATAAAAGTATGGTGGGCCCTGAGAGCACTGCAACTTAGGAAAACATACAAACAGAGAAATACTGAAGTGCACTGCAAATAAGAAAACACTTGGCTGTGTTTTTCTCCTCTAAATTGGGCTGCATATAAAAGCATATGCAATAAACCTAAATGACACACAGTAAAAAGCTAAATTGCATCAGTATGAATAAACAAAAAATGCTAACAACAACTGACCTCTATCCAATCACAGCCGAACAATCTTCACTGTGCAGAGCAGGTCTGGCCCATTTTGGATTTGTCTAAATGCTGAAGTACTACAAAATGTGTTTAAAGAGTTTGGAGGTTCAGGTTTAATTTTCCATTGAGGAAAACAGAAGAGCAAAGGAGCAAGAAACATACTATAACTTTTACAGGAACAATGTTCACCTGCTTTAACGTAAGCTACAACTGTTAGCATGTCCTGCTAACTAGCTTCATACATAAAGTAGCAAATGGACATTACCTCAAGCAAAGTGTCTCTTACTTTGAAATTAATTCATTCAGATTTTACTGGTTAAATACCCTTGTGGCCAAGCACAATTAATCCCTTACACTGCTCCAAACCTGTGGCAGTTCTGTGGACACAGCTGTTCAAACCCACAGAAGATCACTTTAGATGGAGAGTTTCCAAAAATACCCCCCAGAAAATAAGCTAAGCTGAATCTAGGGGGAAATGTGTATAGAATGATTCAAAACACACATATTTCCATCTAACTGAGAGGTGCAACTATAAAAACCATGCAGTCTTGGGTGTGAATATTTCAGTCAGTATAAACATGATTCTATATATCTTCCACAAAGAGGGGGAACAAAATGGTACTATCAAACATGAGCTGGTTTTTCAGGAGCGTGCATCCTGGATTGCTGGTGGTTACTACAGGTTAAAATGCTTCTCCTCTCAACGTCATAGCTTTTCAGATATACTGGAAAGCAGCTACTACAAGACAAGCACCAAGCTGATCTTGAGTATTCAAGCTCCAAGGACAAGAAAAGGTGTCAGAGAGCGTGGAAATGCCACAGCCATCATATTTCACCGTGAGGCTCCTGCCCTGCCTCTGCTTGGCCCCTGCTCCACACCACTGTCTTCTCACCCTTCTCTTGTCGCCCCACATGCTCCTGCTGATGGATGAGCTCATTTGCCGCTGGTCTCTTTGGTGTCGAACCAGGACATGTTGCTTTTCTGCTGCTTCAGTGGACACAGAGAACAGTAAGACCTCAGCCTGAGTGGACAGCACTGGATGTGTGCTCTCAGTAAAAGCATGGTCCAGTACATCTATAGAAAAACTGATTAATTTAGAAATGGTCCATACCACAGTTCTTAGCCTGTGTATTTCCAGCAACAGCCAAGAGTAACACAAACTGCAAGCAACGTTAGTATTACATTTGTCTTAACAGCACCACAGAGAGCTGAATAAAAAGCACTGTTCGTGCAATAACACAGAGAAGGAAAGTGCAGAAGATGAAATTGCCTTGTTTCCCTCCTTGGTGATTTACAGTGCATTTGTGGCTTTTATTTTTATTTTTTATTGTTCACTGTCATGGAGACAGTGGATTTGCAACAGGCCTAGCTAAACCAATTCAACAAATGAATTTCTTCAAGCAATAGCATAGTGCGTGTTTATGCTAGATCCAAGTTCAAGCATTACTGATTGCTGACTGCAATAAGTTGTAAAACGTCTTCCTAATAAATTTCAGTTGATACGACACTCTGTTCTGATACGGACCATGTCTCTCTATTTGCCAGCCAGGCAGCCTGTCCCAGCTACAGTAACTATGATGAATGCAGTGTCCACAGCGACAACCAGCCATTTGATACTTCATCCCCCCTGATGCATTAGCTGCTAATATCCCGTGTATCTATGGCAAGGACTTTGAAGCCTCATGATTTGCCCTGACTGGCCACGGCGAAGCCGTCCCCTGAGCATAGGTGACTGTAATCAAACAAGTGGCAGTGTCTTACTTTAAATGCATTTGTTAGTGGAAGCAGGCTTTGGGGGATCAGACACAGCATCTGTGTTACTGATTGGGAAAAGTGACTCTGCAGAGCCCACCAGGCCTTCAAAAGTATCTCTGAGATCCTCTCCAGCTTGAATGCCACTGAGGGCAGTTAAAGTACACTGGTAATAAATCACTTTGTGTAGCAGAGGGGTCCCCAGATGAATGAGAGCTAGAGACCCTGCTGTGAAATGAAAGGGATTACACACACACACACACACACACACACACACACACACACACAGAAAGATGTGAAAATATCACATGAGAGGGGCATTAGAAGTTCAAAGGAGGAAAAGCAACAGGGACCATTAAGACTCTGATCTTAGCAGCTGCCAGATGGGATGGGAGGAATCAGAAACTGTTGAAAAAGACAGTGAGAAAGAGGGCGTTTGGACAGAGATCTTTTAAGTTAATACCGATTCAAAATGATTTAGGGGAAATGCATCCTAAAGAACACGACCAGTCAAATGGCTGCGCCCACTAACTTCGATAGGAAAGTGTGTGCAGACATTTGACAGGTGGTGTCTATTCTCAAGTCTCGTTCTCAGTCATACACACAAACAAACTACAGCATTTGACCGAAATGACGCTGCTTTTCAAAGCTGAACTACCTTCCCCGGGTGTGAGGGCCGCTGCAGAGCTGCACCTGACTTCCAGGGAGCTCCTGGGCCGGTCTGCCGGTCCAGGTGCAGCTTTCGGCGGTCATGATCCTCCCGGGTGTCCGGACATCCGATGCTCCGTGCACAAAGTTTCTGGGCACAAACCGAGACAGGTTTAACAGAAGGCCTACCCAAAGGACGCACAGGCAGCGCAGTATTTCGATTAAACATGGCAGGTTTGTAAGTTACACAGGAGCAGCTGACATTTCACTCGAGTGAATAAACGGCGTCAACAAGTTAAAGTGTAAACACTTGTTGACAAAGTCGCCAAACTCCTGCGGCCTCCATTTCCCATGGCAACGGTAAATAAAGCTCAGCCCACAAGGAAGTAAAGGTTGCACCATATGGCCAAAAATACATGGACACTTTACCCACAGTACCTCAATGTGTCCCAGGCCAGACCCAGGATATTACTGTTTTCCTACTGTAACAAACAAACAAACAAGCAAAAAGAAAAAGCACAAACATCACTAATAACATTAACACTATCCAAGTGTTGCAGTAAGCAGTGGTGGAAATTAACAAAGTACATTTACTCAAGTACAGTTTTGAGGTATAGGTACTTTACTTGAGTATTTTCATTTTGTGCTACTTCATACTTTAACTTCACTACATTTTAAAGGAATGTATTGCATGTCTTAGCCCACTACATTTATTTTATAGCTTTAGGTACTAGTTACTTTTCTGAATGAGATTAATAAAGCAAATTACTGTAAAACCACAAGACTTTATTGATTTATAAGTTACACATCAGTAATTCAAATTATAGGCATATACACCGGTTAAAACCAACTCCACCTTTACCAACTGCAACATTAGATGTGATGTAATGTATCAATATTTATAATCCAACTATATGATAAACATTCGTGTTAATTGTACTATTCTGCATCTGGCCATCATTAATTTGAATATATACATCTGTGATTTTCCTATTCTGACAAAATGTCTGCCATGAAAAAGGCCTGCTGGCCTCCACTTATTGTCTCATTGCTTTCATTCAATAGAGCCCTACAGCCTCCACATACTATGCTGATATTGGCTGAAGTAAACCAAAGCGGCTGTGATTAGTGCTGTAGTTTTAAGGTCAACTTGGAAAACTCTCAATAATTGAAAAAGATTACACTCTAATCTGTGACCAGTTATCTCAAGTGTTGGAAAACAAGAAATACAGATAGCGAGTTTACTCTATTGAGCTAGACTGAGTCAACCTTCTGCCACTAGTTAACAACCAGACAAGAGGAACTAATCACTGAAATCAGCTGCCGGTGTTTGTGTGGAAATCAGTGTGGCATGGCTAGCAAGTGTTTCATTGCTGATTTCTGGTACATACAACTGCAAACCTGCAAATACACACACCCACATGCATTGTTGTGCTCGTCACTTACAGGCTCTGTACACAGACTTACATTCATTTCCAGGAGACTTACCCTAACCATAACCAAAGCCGACACTTGCTCTAACCTTACATCCCATAATTTTTGTAAAATTCGATGAATTAGTCGTGAGGCCCAGCCTACAGTCCCCACAAGTTACTTCCAGTCCCTGCAAAGCAGTGTGCTCCCAGTGTTTTGTCCCCAAAAGCATACAGCAAACAAGGCCACACATACATACACATACATTATACTGGAAAATGTCACAAAGAAAAGCTGAGATTAGAGAAAATTAGACTTAAGAGTAAAAATCAGATTGAAGATATAATTATCTGTCCTTGTATTATAAGGTCCTAGTTTACTGTGAACAGTTATGAGGATTAGAGTGTCATTTTATAGCAGGAAACACAACTTTTGGAAACGTTAGGCTATAAAATCCTGTAGAAAATCAGTTACACTTTTTTAGTTTCCTTTTATAAAGTTGCCCGAGCTTTGGCAAAACATCAGTACTGCAAGGCAAAGAACCAAACACGTAGTCATAAATTTGAACAGGATGTAAATCCCTAATGATGGTTGAAACAGAAGAACCGATTTCTGAGGTGACTCCAGCAGCAGCAGTTCAGCCTTACAGTGTTTCCTACAGACCGAGGCTGAGTCTGTGGGTGAGGCATCCCACAGTGTCAGAAACATCTGTTCAATCTGTTTTGTGCTCCAGTGGATAGTGTGCCAAAATCTCAAGGCACACTGCTCTAAAAATGAAACACCAACAAGTCTGTCACACTCGATAGAAGAGGGAACAATAATAATCCTGTTGAAACTGCAGAGTGAAAGAAGAATGGAGTGGAAGGGACCTTTCTCCACTCGACACACGCATGCCATTGAAATGATTCAGATATCAAATGAAAGAGCATTTTGTGTTCTTCTAAGCCTCTGGCAGACAAACTGTTGCCACAGTGCATCCTCCGAGAGGCCAAACACAGGGCAAAGAGACACTATTGCTGACTCATGACAAGACTGAGGAGCGTAGTCACCACTGGCAGAACAGAGTTCACTGGGATGTGAGAAGAACAGTTCACAGGCAACAGTTCAAACGCTAACCAACCTCGACCAACTGCTCGCTATTTGCCATCATGGCCTTAAAATGTATAAATAAAACTAATTAGTCCTTCCCTCCTCATCCTCACATGCCCTACTCATGGGATTGGCATGACCACAGGCAGGACTACTATATAAAGCCCCTCAGAGTTTTCTCTGTCTCACCACACGTTGTTGAACCTTTATTAATCCCTCACTCATTAGGTTGATTTTACCTGATGACACTTCAGTAAGTCAGCACTGAGTCCAAAAGTTACTTGCTGACTGCTTTTTTTCTTTATAATTTTACACTTATTTACTTCTTGAAACATGAGTGAGCAGGCCAATGCAGAGCTGACTTGCGGAGAGGATAGCAGGGGTGGACTCTGGTTCCCTCTGAGAAAATGGTGGCATTTGAGTCAGGATGTTGGCCTGCCACCTTTCTTGGAGCCAGGGAACCCTGTGTGGATGAATGTGAACTGGCTCCAGAGGAGTTTGGCTGCTTTCTCCTGGCCGCTGTACATCCCCGCTCCGTTGTTTGTGCCCTACATCTGCGGGTCGATGCATCACCCCAGTCAGAAGATTAGTAAGGAGCAGTACAAGTGGAGGGTCAACCTGGATGTGGCTCACTTTGCCCCCGCAGAGATTTCTCTCAGTGTCAGAGACGGATTCCTGGAGATTGCAGGTACAGAACAGTGGCTTACAGCTCTTTTAATTAAACACCACTGAAGTTCACTTTATTTATACTACTAATTACTTTCACACACAGGATAGTTTCTACTCTTAATAAAATATTAATAATCCTGTCTCTCTAATATTATTATCTCAAAGAATAACTGAGTTATCTACCTAGTGTTGTCTCACAGTTCACAGAATAATCCCCCTAAAACTAAACACTGATGGAAAGGAAGCTGATTGCAACAAAATTAGAAAGCTTCTTAAATAATGTGCTTGGGGAAATTAAAATCACAGCTCTGTGGCAGAAATTAATTTCTATGTTGAGTGGTTTCTTTGTTGCTTGACTCCTCTGTGTGTCCTCCAATTCTCCCCCCTAACGATAATGTATCCCCAGGGAAACATGAGGAGAGGCCGGACGAGCATGGATTTATTGCCAGATGTTTTACGAGGAAATACAGGTATGAGAAGTAAATAGTGATATTAAGATGATGAAATATACAGCAGCAAAGGTCTGTTTTTAAAGTTCTCACTGAGCTGAAAGGTGAGATATTACTTAAATGTGTTTCAGTATTTGCATTGTCACACTGTATGTAAAGACAACATGGTCGTGTCATTTTCAGGCTCCCAGCTGAGACTGATGCGTCCAAAATCTCGTCCACACTCACTGTTGATGGCATCCTGACGGTGGAAGCTTCAGTTCCTGAAGCCTCTGTTCCTGCTGCCATCATTATTCCAATAAAGGTGATCAAAACCGGGAGGTTTCTAGTTTCAGATATTGGTAGATATGCATATTTGCTTCCTTGCCAAGTGTTGAGAAAGTCAATACTACTTACAGTAAATGGAAGTCTACAGCCTGCAGCCAGTTTGTTTAGCTTAGCATAAAGAGTGGAAACATGGAGAAACAGCTAACATGGCTCTGTCCAAAGGTAATAAGATGTGCCTCATGAACAATATCTCTAAACCTCACATATTAACATATCATGTTTGTTTAATCAGTACAAAGGCTAAACTGCAAAAATGACAAGTTGCTGAAATTAAATTCTTCTTCTATAGTTTGATTTTTGTAGGGGCTAAACATATGAGATATACTGTGTACATTAGTTAGTGTAGGTAGGTGAATTTTGTTATCAGTGGACACAGACAGGCTAGTCCTTTGCTAGTCTCGCCAATGAGAAGGCAGGCCAGACCCTATGCCAAGCTAAGCTCCTGGCTCCTCCTATAATTACTGTACAAGTAACTCTCTGTAAGAAAGCAAAATACATTTCCCAGACACTCACACCACACCTCTGAATGGAGAACCACATCCCTTAATTGCAGCCAATTCGGTGTTCCTCTTGATTTTGCATATAAGGCTGGACAATGAGATTTTTTGTTGATGTGGGGGCACACATTTAAAACTTTACTGCTGACATTTTCTACATATTTATGCTCACATGCAGGTGGAGATGGAGGCTGATGGAAAAGAAGAAAAACATGAGAAAGAAGAAACACCTGAAACAGACCCAGGTAGTTCAGCACCAGTGGCCTCAGGGTCCCCATCTGTGGAGGATCATGGGGAAGAGTCTCCACTAGAGGTCCATGGTGATCAGGCCCACCCTGGCAGTGCCACAGCTGGGATTCAGCAGCATGAAGAGAGGAGGGAACAGGAAGAGGAGACCAATGACAAGCCTGACAGAGAGTCCCACCCAGTGTCTGCAAATGGCGAAGGCAGCGAGAGTCTTCACGATTCCTCTGTGCACCATGAAGGCCTGAAGAGCCAAGAAAGCCCACACACAGACACGTCCACAGAGCCGGAACACAAAGAAGCAGCTGTGGGTGAAGAGATTCAGCAGGTAGTGGGGGATTCAGGGGGGGCGGCTGAGGAGATAAGCCAGCCTGAGGAGTTAGAGCTGGGCAAAAGTCCACCGAATGGGGTCCTGAGCCAGGTGCTGGAGGATCCCGACATTAAACAAGAACACGCTGAGTAGAAACACAATACTGCCAAAATGCTGCACACAACACATACTGAGAAAATACTGAAACAGCCTGCACAGCTTGCCTCGCACCAGGTCTACAGATGCAGTTTAGTCAGTAGATATAACAGCCATATAACCATGTCTTCGGAGCTCCAATAAAACAGCTGCATGTGAAAATCTTATATATATATTGTGTTGTGTTGTGTCGTTGTGAATTTGCAACTATTAACTAATAAGTGATCACGTTCTGGAGCATCATATTGACATTGAAAATGTGACTTCAAATTTTAAAAAGTGGTTGAATATCATGCTGTTTCAGCTACATTTTGACACAAATCAGTTACTATTCGTTTTCACAGCTGTGCTTTTACATTAGTAACATGCCCAGTGAGAAACTGGTGTGATTCCAATTATGCTGTTGCCATGGCAGCACAAGTCCACACATTTCATCCAATACCAATAAACACAACAGTTTATGTGAGCTGGAGCTGGCACATCACACAAAACAGCGCCACTGCACAGCTGAAACTGTGGAGGCCTTCTGTTCTTTCCACAGTGTGCAAACTTTTTAAATTCAAAATATTCATCCCTTTCAGTTCCAATACGCAGACAAGATTACATTATTTTGCATCACACAGCACACAATGGAACTGCCTCAATTTCTGCTCCCACATTCAGAAGCTCTGGCAGTGCTGCCTCTTTACGATCAACCCATTTTGCAGCACACAGCAGTGCCAGCCTCACCCAGCACTAAGCCCTCTGCTAATCTGCTGCCCAGTTCCTTCTGTTATCCAACAATAACACCACCGGCTCCCGAGATCCCTGGAACCAGGGCCCTGAGTGGCACAGATCTCAATAAAAGACACAGATGTTAAGACACATTGAGAGACTGGCTGAACATTTTTATTGCATCAGCCAATACAAAGACATCAAGAGAAAAGAAGGCAGGCAACAAATATCTTTGGCTAACAGGTCAGTCGGTTGGTTCCTGTCAAGCAGTCACCTTCCCGAATAGAAAAGAAAAATGCAAACCATGTTGCAAAACCTGGAACACTTCAGATTAATATTTATAATGAACTCGTACATATTAAAGTATATTTACAATGCACTTTGGTGGATCACAGCATTAATGCACACTATTCACCCCCTACTGTAGCAACAAAAGGTGACTTACTTTCATTCCTTGTCGGTTTAAATGACATTCATTAGATCAAAAGTTAAACAGGAAGGAAGACAAGGCACCCAAGTCAATAGTTTGTCAATTTTTTAAAAGAAATCACATACTTTATGCAAAGATTGTTCCACTAAATGAATGTGTTAATAAATATATAAATTTGACCTTAATATATCTTAAATTACTGAGAATGCTACAACTTGTAATGCATCAGTGGCCCAGCAGCTCTTGCATAACTTCAGGATACACCTGCATACAATATTAAAGCTGCACAAGATAAGTTAGCACACTGAAGGCTCCATATAATTGTTTGAAAACACAAAATGTGACATCAGATTAATATTGACTTCACAGCCATGGTTACCACCCATCTGGGTGGTCTGTTTCTTTTTTGTAGTAAAAGAAGTCATGGGGGCAAAATTAAATCTCCCTGGTTCCTCTGGACAACTGTGTTTTTGCTTTAAGCTTGAATTCTAAGAAATGTTGATGTGAAATGTACATGTCAATGACACTGATTTCACATCAACATTCCCCCCTGATTTCCCCCCTTTTATTCTTACCTTTATTTTACCAGGACCTGGCCAAGGTAGCAGCCATACAAATTCACAACATATTAAAATTTAACACATACAACACTTCATTCACTTCACCACATTCTTTACAATGCCCTTAAATTCTTCCCTGTTACTCAAGCAAAAAAAAAAAAAAAAAAAAAAAAAAAAAAAAAAAGCTAGTTGAAGGTGTCACCTTTGAATTTTGGAAAATGTGAAGGTACTCATGGACAAATAAACAAATAAAATGAGATAACTGTTGGGAGATTAAGCAATAATGAAAATATTTGTTAGTTGTAGGTACAAAGGAAAGTGAACCAGAACTCTGTGAACCTAAGTGAAATAAAATAAAATATCTGCAGCGTCTTCATTAGCATGAAGTAGAGACTCGTCAAGTGGCTTATAAAATCTACATTTTCAATATAAAAATCTTGCCTGGTGCAGCTTTAATATGTACGTTAATCTTGCTAGTACTGTAATACTTTCTAGTACTACATATTTTATGACCAGGTTTGTAGCAACATGAAGCTGAAGGCCACACATTTTGTATCAAACTGTAAGTGATTGTGCAGGATGACCTGCGGTGATTAGACCATCGGTGCCTTTTGGGGCTTGGGGGCCTCCACCTCCTGCATTTCACCACCCTCGCAGCCCTCGTCACTGAACAGGTAATATGGAGGTGTCTGCCGAGCCTCGATGATGAGGACGCCCTCAGGGGACAGAGATGCGAAGACTGTCAGAGGGTCCACATCTGTCGGGATCCTGATGACACACAGGAAGACAGGTGAGAAAGAGTATGTGGTTGAAGTTAAGTGGCCGAAGTTTACTTGGTAGAAAACCTATAAGCTGCTGTGTGTGTTCAGTAGCGGTAGGGACAAAGTAAGGACAGCAGTGCCAAAAAACAGCCTAGAGAAAACAGTTCAGTACCTGCTCATGCAAAACTCAGACATTTTCCTCCATAAGAAACGCTGTGCAACCTAAATGCTGTAATTTTTTTTTATCAACACTTTGTCACTACCTACAAACAGCCTCCAGCTAGATGATTACAGCACTAGTAGAGAAAAAAACAACAAGGCTCAGAATTTTCATTGCTATACTATTAAAACATTCACCTCATCCTTTTAGCTCAAATTCACTAAAACCATCTCACAAAAAGGAGGGAGGTAAACAATATATTGTGAATCAAGGTGTGAAGTTTGCAGAAATGAAGGCTAATTTCAGTTAATAAGAGTGAGTGTCTGCAGTAAATTTCCATCAGGGTGCACCTCCTTAATCTAGTGGTTTCATCTGTCATATATACGGTAGCTAATTTTGTGTCAGGCCTTTTTTTTAGCTATTTGTTTCTCCTTTTTTCCACACTTCACATGCAGAAAATATTTTCGAGAGCACAGTGGGATAATTGGCTCCAAAAACTTGCAGGAAGACACAAAGTGCGGATGGAAAATCTGTCAAAGCTGCAATACTATGTGCTGGCTTCATTTCATTACATTGTTTATTATTTTATTAACTTAAATTCTCAGATAAACTGGTATTTAATTATCAGGTTCATTTCATGCTCAAAATAATGCATGAGGCACACACACACACACAAACTCTGTGCTTTGTCTGATAGTGTGGCCAAATATGGTTATTGTGTGTTTTCTGTGTGAGCAGCCAAATGTCTCTGAGTTAATATAAACATCAGGCTGCTCTGTTCAGGGGAGGGGGCTGTGAGTCTGCCCTTCTTTTAATTAGACAGGACCCTCCACTGAGAAATACAAGTCAGACAGTGACTGAAGACCTCACCTCACAGCAGACAGCCAAAGTGGACAAGCCACATATCACACATGAATGTCTACAATGTTGTGACAATCCACCCATTAGACATTGAGATTGTTCACTAAATGAGAGAAAATGTTGACCTGCTGATTTAATAGATGTCAAGATATTGAGTGGAGAGAGGAAGCTGGAGTACCCGGAGAGAACCCATTCAGGAACAGAAAGAACATGCAAACGCCGCACAGAAAGGCCCCGGGTCAGCCCGGGCTCAAACCCAGAACCTTCTTGCTGTGAGGCGACAGTGCTAACCACTGCCCCACCATGCCAAATCTGCAAACCAAATTTCATGACAGTTCCTCCAGTAGTTGTTGAGACATTTCACTCAAAACCACCAATGTCAACCTCATGGTGGCGCCAGATGGGATCAACTGTCATTTGGGTGCATCCTCAGGGGAGCATGAATTTATTTATTTATTTATTTGCAATCCCCCAAATTGTTGTTAGATATTTCAGTCTGGACCAAAGCAGTTTATTGACTGAGGGACATTAATCTACATGTCATGACTCATCTGCTGTTTGGCCACTATAACGAGGGAAATAAAAAAAGACTTTAAGGCTTGTATTTAAAGCTGGTGTAAGCCAGTATTATCCTTGAATATTATTTATAATTTCCTAGTTCTGGACACACACACTTGATTAAACATGTTTCCCTCATCTTCCTTTAAGGAGCCAAGTGCTGCGAAGCAAAGTCAAATCACTCAGCGGGCCCATTACGCTGGACTCCGGCTGAAACCTTATCTGTCCAACTTGGGGAGCTTATTTACCTCTGGCAAGCACAAATTTGATCTCAGACATTGATTTTGTACAGCTGCCAAAAAACTGTCCAATATACGTTTCCCCCCGTAGGGCGTGGACGCCAAGAGAGACAAGACAGTGAGGCCCGAACAGGGTATGTGCGCATAAAAGTGTGTGTGTAGAGTAAAACTTAGGACACATGACTGAGTCAGTCTGGTGATATCATGTGCCTCATGAGAGTAGGCAGAACAAGAGGTTCCTAAATAACACACCGCTCACACCTCCCCCATACAGACAGGTGTTGCAGCAGAACTGATTCAACAGCATATCTGGTTAATATGTGACACATTTCTGGCTTATTTGGATCAGTTTAACAAAATAAAAATCCACCCTTGGACTCTGCTGCATTTATTGGGTAACAGCCAGTCTATCCTGTTCAATTATTTCCGTAATAAAATCTTAAGATTTTCGGAACATTTGTGCCTGGGTGCTAGTACATCAACATGCTGCATTTACAGGTTGTTATTTGCAGGTCATAAAGGCAGTGGTGGGAAGTAACATTTACACATTTAAAAATGTGAGTTAATTGTATTTAAAACTACTCCCATGTTATGCTTCTAGGCTACTACATTTATTTAACAGCTTTAGTTTGCAGATTTCAAGTCTAAAACATAGGTTTATATCATAAAATATCACCTAAGTTGTTAAAACCTGAAATACCAAACAGTAGGTAAACTAATTAAAGCTCCATTTAAAATGCTACATACAAATTAATGCAGCAATAAAACAATATTATACACCAAAGTCTGCATATTCAGTACTTTGACTTTTGTTACTCAAAATTTACTTTAAAGATGTGTCAGTTTTAAAAAAAGGGCAGCTATTTGTTGGCTAACTCATCAGTTAGTCACCTGATCACTTTAGCACTGTTTCATTTGAGTACAGTTTTGAATACAGGACTTCTATGTTTGTATTTTTAGATTGAATTGTTGCTACGTTTACCTAATCAAGGATCTTAATGCTTCAGCCTCTGTATACACGTGCACGTAGGCACAGAAGTTAAGCAGGCCTTACAGTTAAACATGTCTGGCTGCAATGCATTATTGTCCATCAAGACTAATATCAGTGTTAAAGCATAACCTGTAATCTGAATACAGTGATATACAAATAAAGTATATGCAATAAGAAGAAACTGAATAGGACAGAAGAAGCACTTCAGTTAAAAGCTCATTCTCATCCACACATTGACAGAAGAAAGTATCTACTCCATGCTACAGTAGCTCTAACTCCCTGTCTCTCACAGAGCTGGAGGATTTGTGTATCAAGGACAGTTATTTATATATGATCCTCTCTCTCTCTCTCTCTCTCTCTCTCTCTCTCCACCACAGCTGCCCTCTCTCTTTATACTCAGCCTGCCACTGCTGTTAGGTTTTGCTTTGCTGAGGCATACAGGGCTAATCTGGAGGTCTTCCAGTTAAGAAGACTGGGATATGAGCAGTGCAGCACTGGCACAACTGTTTACTAATTAACTAACAGGAAATGGACAGAATTGGAGTGACGTGCCAGCGAGGTAGTGATTCGCACTGCTGTTTTAAGCCCTCCACTGCCCAATTAAATGAGCAGAGGCATAGAGCGAGCAGGTTGTGGAAACTTCTGTAGTCCGATTGTCTTGGATCACACACAGTATGAATCGTCTCTGCAAGACACTCCTGCTCCATACAGGAATCCTTCATCTGGAGAGCTGTTTGCCCACTCTGACCTGATATGACACTTGAGGTTTATTTTAAGTTAACAATGTGGACATTGTGCTGACGTCTGCATCTTTAAAAGATAAATAAACACCAGTGATACTTGCACAGTCATTTTGCAAAGCAAGGAACTTTATCTATGGCTGTACGTATTTTACAGTGATCATAAAATATCAAGCTTCTGCCCTTTCATGGGGCTTCCATCCTTATCCAAGGTAAATGAGCATCTGCCTCATTGGTGCACAGTATCATTTGAACTTCTTGTGATTTACACACATAATGTTAGCAAGAAGGCTAACGTTAGTTTCTTTTCAAAACAACAGAGGGAGGAAAAGAGTACTAAGCTCTGTTTGTGTGCGCAGAGCAGCCGCCCATGATTGGTTAAATGTCCTTGATTTCACATGTCAAGCATTACAAGCACGGTGTGTAAACACATTCACTGGTTAAAGGTAAAATGAGGATTTCAGTGAGCAGACCGCGGGCAAGGCAGTGCAGATGTCACGTTTCTGCAAGTGTATGTTCAGCCCCTCCCTCCTCTGAACACAGAGCGAGACAGGAAAAATATAGTGGAAAAACAAAGTAGGACAGCCCTCGTCAACCCGTGAGGTTATGCTGGGTGACGGTTATGGGAAGCACTGACTGCTTGTTAGTGGAAATGGAGTGATAATGGCTATAGAAAGAAAAGTAAGACAGTATACTACAGATATAACCAGATTCTGGTCCTGAATGGAAGGGAGAGGAACCTGCTATTTCACGACCTGGTGTGACATCCGTTTCAAAATCGTTCACTCTCCAGACGGGAGATTTAATGTTTTGAATAGCGTAAAAACATCACAGAGACACAGTTTAGTGATTCGACAGCAGAGGAGGGCCTCCGCCATCACCCTGGTCCAGCTCAAACCTCATTTTTTTATTTTCCCATCATACCACCTCTTTAAATAACCCTAGTGATTGGAATCCTGATTTGTTGTTTTCAGAAGGTGTCAGATTTGTGAGGGATGTTTTTTTTTTTATCCTACAACTAGGAAGTGCTAAGGGAGAAGTGTTCAAATCTGCACACAGTGGCTTTAGAATGACGTGGCACCAGAGAGAAAAGAAAGAGTACAGCTGTGACTGAGAGCAATACACAGAGTTAGCTGACATTATACTCACTGTATCTTCTTTGTGAAATTCTTTGTCACTATGCCTCCTTTTTCCTGCTTCTCCTCATGTGTCCCTGTTTGGAAAAAATACAGCAGCAATTAAGTGAGTGAGGTGAGTAACCTTACGTAACTTCAGAGGTGGTGAAGTTCCACACTGTGCAATAGTTAACTTATGATCGATGACCTCGATTGAGACTGATCATTTAAACCTACGATTATAGGGGTAGGTGGATCTAACCAACACCTTAGAAATGGAGGTCAGTGAAAGAGACTAAACAGCACGTCATGTGGCAGCCACAGTTCTGTTCTGCTCAGTCCCAGCAATATTTTGCTTTCTGACTTTTGGGTGGGTTGCAATGAGCATGTTGAAATGATGAAACGCCCTTTCTTTCCCTCTAGGATGATTCTACTGAAGAACGACACTCGCACATGTTGATATGAATCCCCCCACCACCCCCACCCTCTCCCCCCTTATGGCAGTTCTATCTCCCAGGCTCACTAGCAGCTGCTCCTGGGCTGCTAAATGTCAAAGCTGCTGCCAGCAGTATGGCCTGCCCATCCCTCAACCCCCCTTCTGCACTCCAGGCTCGACTATGTGCTACCCTATACCCCCGCAGTGACGTCTCTGCCTACCAAACACGCTGGACTCCACCAGAGGCTGAGGGTGGAAGAAAACTCCAGAGAGAGCTGAGCTAAGACCATGGGTGAAGTCAGGAGATTATTATGAAAGCCTCATCATGACTAAAGACATAAAACTGGTCCCCAATTATCTCCCTGAGACATTTCATGAATAATAATAGAGGTTTGGTCAGAGAGTATCTGACAAGGTGCTGTCTCTCCTAGTTTTTAGGTGTCTTACGACAGAGATGCCAAATTCCAGGTGTTCTGTGTAATATTGGATGTTCTGGGAGGAGAGATGACAGATGGTGCCTTATCGTGATAAGGACGGGGCTGGTGGAGGGTGCAGCTTTGTTTGAAAACTTCAGTGAGCCTCAAATAGCAGTGAAAATTTAAAAAAAAGTTTCTGATTCAAAATGTTTGGTTCAGTTAAGTTAGAAGAGTCATGGTGACTAGTACTGTCTGACTTTCTTTGTTTCAGTGTTGGATCCTAAGTTAGTTTCAGTCTATTTCTGGTTCGAAAGGTTTCTTCCATTCATGCAAAATGAGGCTTTTAAAGGTGACAAACTAGACACTGGATGCATCAGAACATTTTCTGATATGATGCCCTTATCATGCATGTTTTGTCAGTGCCTTCCAAATGGTTAATATGATTGTTTTCTGATCTGGCACAGTTGGGGTTACGGTTTGGTTATGCTTAGGCACAAAAACTGCTTCATTACAATATTTCTGGTTAGGTTAAAAAAAGGATTTGGAGATATTGTAACACTGTCCTACTGCTCTGCTCTTTCCTCATGACAAACAACAGTCAATATTTGCAGGGACAGCAGCAGGCCTGAGCAAAACACATGAACATCGGCTATTTTATGCATTTGAACAAATGACCAAAGCTATAATCATTCATGTAAAAACAGTCTGTTCTTAAAAATAATAAGCTCACAACCACCTATCTGCCTAAAGGGCAGTGAAAGCCCCATATGCAGTGTGTCACCTGGTTTGCGTTAATTTGCTTGGAGATATGCACCACTAAAGCAGCTGGAATAATTAGGAGCTTAAAAAGCAACTTAACACCCCTTCCAGCTTTTTAGGTTACTTACAAATTCTGTTTCAAATTTTACATTATTCCTAAATAAAAGTGTGTTTAACCAAAGCTAACTGGGTTAATCCATGACTGCCGCTGTGGATTTTGCCATTTTTCAGGAACCAAGAAGAAACGTGCTGTATATCATGGCTGCTTCAGTGTTAACAATTTGTTCATTCATGTACCGAACACCTCCAGCATTCTCGTATCACATTCCTAGTCACATATTTAGAACAAGGGTCGGGTCATTGTAGCAGGCCCAACATGGTGCTGATGGAATGACCCAGCTGGCACATCAACAGTGTGTTTATAAAAAACCTGGGGGGTGCTGTGTCTTTTGAAGCATCGACATAAAGAAGCTGATTCTACAAGCTGCCCCTGGGCTAGGGTGTGACACCAGCAGAGACAAAGCCTGCCGAGGACTGCTGGGGAAGAGTGAGGTCCTATTTCCAGATCATTCGCTCCTGTGTTTAAGAGCCGCAACCGGTGCGTCTTATTGTAAACAGAGACTGTTGTCACGGGCCTTGCCTTAAATCTAAATTGAGCTCATGGGTGACTGAGGGAGCGATTCTCTGGGAATCTGAAACAGGTGTCTAAGCTTGAGGATCGGCCTGCCAAAGTGTGCAAGTCCCAGTCCCCAAAATCTGTCTAGCTCTTCCTTATCAAGACTCATTAACTCTGAGACCATGTAATCCAGCAGAAACTTTCACTGTACTGCTTCAAATCTGCTGCCACAGTGAAAGAGCCATTTCTTGGTAAGATTAGAATGAGGATCCTGAGAGATAATTAGAAAGGTGTTTTGTTTCATTGATCTAATTAGTTATTATTGTCACTGTACTGCTACTTTTTGAATTCCTCATTTTAAAACATGTGGCTGTAATGAAGACCTGTCCAGGTAGTACCCTGTCTCTCACCCAGTGTCAGCTGGGACAAGTTCCAACCCTCTACTGACCATCTGAAGGATAAGCAGCATAGATAATTGATGGATGGATCATTTTTAATGCATTTCAGAGAGATGAATGATTGAGTTTGTCTTGGCTGTTAAAAACAACATATATTGAAGGTATAAGCAATGCTGTGGTGAGAGGTTTACTGAGGTCAGGAGACAAAACGCCTCCCATAAAGTGTCACATGTAGAAAATTATGTTTTCTGTGACCTTTTATCTCAAGAATGCTTATATCTCTCAAAACTGTTCACATACAGCCATGAATACAGTTCTTCTAGAGAAAACAAAACTCATATTTAAAGATGCTAAGTCTAAAAAAAACAGTAGACCCTAACTTTTGTGTAGCCTAAATATAGACTACAGTGTAAACTCCCAATATACTGAGGACATGACTTCAGTATGCTCAGTGGCAACTGTAGGCCTATTTTATAAGTACATATCTATCTGTCTATAATATTTATTTTGTTTTCCTGACTTACTGGTTAAACTGAGTTTAGCCCTCTGCACCAGGCTCCCAACTCACCTGACACTTCTACAAATCCATCTCTCGTTTTGATGTTTAATTCCTCTGGTTTGAAGCTGTGGACGTTCACACAAACTTTCCAGGGCTCCCCCGAGGTGGTAGTGGGGGAGCTCCGGGAGGAGGGCTCCCCAAACCTGCTGGTGTACATTGTCGGGCCTCCCGTGGACTGACGTGGGGGGAAACCTGTGCGTAATCCGCCGCTGAAGGGAGAGGGACTGAGGCGTGAGCTTAGCCGGCCCGGTCGAGCCCAGCCCGGCCAGTCCATCGCTAGATCGTCGGGAAAAGGTGACATCCCGAAGTCATCATCGTCAATAAACCGCGTTGCGAGCTGATCCCTGAACGGAGACTGTTCCCTAAAGGGAGACTGATCCCTGAATGGTGATTCTACAAACGGATCCCTGGGAAACCTCTGCCTGTTTCCCATAGTGTAGAAGTCCCCCTCTGCCATGTCGAGCCGAGATCAACGCCAAGTACAGGTCAGCTCTTTGGCCAAAAACAACCCTAAACCAAATCTTGTTTCTTTTTTTAAAGACTGGAATCCCTACAGTAAATCTGTGCCTGGTAGAACTTTATCTCGTTTGGATTACGCGCATCACCGTTACGCAATCAGTCACCTGTTGATCCATCAAAAAAAATCCCCAAGTGGACGACGAGTTTTTTTTTAACACCTCAAAGTGAACTGGTCTAATTCCTTCTGGCTGCGGGTTTTATACTGGACGGTGACTTCTCAGGCGATGAGTCGGCACAGAGCAAGTGTTGAGAAAGTACTGGGAGGATCTGGAGAGCACACACACTGCAAAAAATATCCATGTTAGAAGTAGTAAAAACACCTTCACATCTTCAAAACAGAAAAATAGAATAAAACTATAACTTGCTCCACTCTGTAATCACTTTTCAGCCGTTTATTGGGGCCAAAACACTTGGAAAGATCAAGATTGAGATTAATCGACTTGCTGATGTGATATTTTGTGCAGTGCAGACACAGCAGCTGACCAAAGACCAGCCTCTCTTTGACCAAATTAGTTACTGTCTCCATGTCACTCATCCTGGGTCGGAGCTCCCTCCCCTTCTCTACGGGGTGACTCATTGACTTTTAAATAGCAAATAACGCAGAGCTTCAGGTCAACAACACTGATGTCACAGTACGGATAAAACAAAGAATCCAACTTTGTGAAGATGGCTTCTACTTACTATGCGTTTTCATCCGTTTGCACAAAATTAAACAAGATTGCATTGGTGTTTTATTCAGAACATGATTCATAGTTTATTCTGAACACGCAGTGAAAGGGGAAGTTGATTTCATGGGGTTATGACAGAGACGATTCAATTTCCAGCTGGCACATTATTACAATGTGGTGCTCACAATGACACAAGATAAGATGTGACAGTATGAAAAACATATGCTTTTGCAAGATGCACCTGGAAGATGTGGAGGGTATGCATAATTTAACACTGAAACACTGCATCACTATTGCTCTATGACCTTGTTATTGGAAATTTAAAATAACAAAAGACACGATCAGAGGGTTCAACAGGAAGATATCTAGAATCCACTGACTGGTGCCTACCTGGCACATTGTCTTCTTTTCCCTCTTTCACTGATTCATACCAACATTTTAACATCCAGCAAGGCCCAAAACACATTCTGTAAATCAAATAATCACATTTTCTATACTTTATACAATGCAGATGCATATTTACACCACAGTAAATACATATCCAAAATTATTTTGCACAAGAACTGATTTAAACTTTACATTGTGAGATAGGGTGGGTGCCGTTGGTCTAGATGTCCATCGAGAAATTTTGTTAACATGACTGCGCAAATTATCCACTGGTACCCAGTTAGCACTGGTTGACATGAGTCATCATCAGTTTATAGTTCATGGATGGCTTTTGTGCCAAGTTCTTTCCACTTCCAGTGTCATATTTCCCTCATCTGTCCAATTTAGACGACATTCAGGGAAATAAGCTGAGCGTATTGAGTGCACAGAGAGTAGTCTGTCAGGCCTGGAGCACTCAGACAGGATGACTGATGTGAACTGATTGAGAAATATAACTCTAATTATATGGAAAACAGTTTCAAACTTTTTGCAGATTCAAACTCCAGCGTCAACACAGCCTCGATATAAACATGAAAAAAATATTTTTGGGAAATCTGCTTATTAGCTGAGAGTTGGACGAGAAGATCAAAACTGCTCTCATGGCTGTTCACTAAATATCAAGCTCTAGCCATTAGCTTAGCTTAACTCCAAAGCTGGAGGCAGGAGTACATTATGTAAGCCATTAATCAGATATGTGCCTCTCACACACAGGTGCAACTTTCATATACTACACTAATACTGAAAATACTTTCACACACTACTAGAAATGCTCTCAGATACTAGGCTGTAGCTTCATATTTAGCAAACAGATATGAGAGTGGTGCTGAGCTTCTCATTTAACTCTTTGGAAGAAAGCAAATGAAGGTAACGCACCAAAAACAAAAGGTCAAAAAGGAAGAATCACTCCTGTTGATCCAGTTTTCCTCCATCTTTTGAACACCTTCTACTTTGAGGTTGATGTGCAAGTAAGGTGGCAAAACCCGATGAATAATTTACAACAAACCAGAAAATAAACTACAGCAGTGTCATAGTAATGATAAATTGACAGTGTTGCATAGAAAGACTGACCACACTCACACTGTCCACACTCAATACTGCTAAAATATAATATGCCTGTGTGTGTGAAGAGGGGTGTAGGAAGTCTGCTGTTTATTTCGTTTTTCTAGTGGTTAAGTTTTTTACTTGGTCTATTGCTGTACCGACTGAAGGTCACTCTAAAATTTCGTTGTGTTACAACGACAATAAAGGATTATCTTATCTACCACCACTGAGAGGGAAAACAAACCAATAAATATTAAATAAGTAATAAATATGTATGGTGCTGCACAATTCAAAATTTGACCTTCCCAAGAACAAAAACAGTTCCAGCAAGAAAACATTATTCAAGTCAATTGGGAATCAGTGCTATTTAAATTCAAACTTATTTTCTGTTCACATTACAGGCCTTGATGTCCAGTTTTGATATTTTTTTGTCTGTTCATGAGTCACATTCATGTTTGTAAAGCTGTGTTTCCACTATCGGAACCTAATGAGCGTTATACCCTGAACTTCGAACTGCAAAGCCTAGCGGGTTGATACGGACTATCCTTTGTTTTTCCACAGTATTTCCTGTCTGTCTGGCTTTTTTAAAAGTATGAGCAGGTTATCAAACAGCTGTGGAACAAGCAGAACAGACTTCTACAACTGTGCACCAAAAGTACTGTGTATATAAGTTGTTGTTTTTTTTTTTTTATCCCTGGCTAAACTGGCCTTTACCTGGCTTCTGATGACTTCAGGATAATAATCACCAGTATTTGGCCAAGTATGTTACACACAAGGAATTTGTTTCCAGTACAGAATCGAGGCAGCCATCTGCAGCGCCAACTCAACCAATGGCTCTAACCATCGGGGGCAACTTCAGTTCCTTGCCCGAGGACACTTTGACATGTGGACTGCAGGCACCGATATTCAAACCTCCAATCTTCCGGTTGGGAGACGATCACTTTACCCACTGAACCAAAATCTCCCCCAGACTAATAGTTGAGGTGTGAAGACATGGACATGTAAGCAATGGAACCCGGGACTTGTTTTTAGTAATACCTGCTTAGGGTGGTGAAACTTAGCTCCCGGAATGCACCATCAAAATAGACTGAGGGCCATGGACATAAACAATATGCATAAATCCCTTGAAAACTGCTTGGCGAAGACATTTCTTCTAGTTTGGATTTACGCTTCTGCATAAATGTTCAACAAAGGTAAAACATCCTCCTTTCTCAAGTGGCGTCTGTCGCTGATGTGTTTATTTTGTATCGATCTGTGAAGTAGTGGTGGGCGGATCGATCTAAAGTATCAATGGTATTGGTACCAACCTTGGTATCGGGATCGATCGATACTTGCCTATCAGTTTCTGTCTTCTACATTGAGTACACAACCCCTGTTACACCATAGTGATGGCCGTCTGACACCGATGCGCTGAAACTCAAAGCAGCATTTTCCTTTAACCACAAAGCTTGCTTTGGTGCAGAAAAAGACATGATCAATCTGAATCACATGACTATACCAGTCGCGCGAGATGCTTAGAAACGCGAAAAATATAGTTTCTCAATAAAAATCTTTGAATCTCCATCCCACTTACATAATCACACCCTGTCCTAAACTTCTAAGTTGTTTTCAGCATACCTGAAATGGTTCAATACCGGTTCATCACTATGCTCCTCTCATTTCGCTCATGCTCACTTTGCCCTTCCCCCTCTCTTGCTGTTAGTTGTATTGTTATATTGTTTCTGAACAAAAATCAAAAATTTTTAATTTAAAACATTTCAGCTTAGTTAATAAAAAGTATTTTTTATTTGCCTAAAATCTTTGTGCTGTGTTTTATTATGATCATAATCACAATCAACTAACTGAAATTCAGAAATCACAAAATCATTCAATGATCATGAAAATTCAAAATTTCAATTTTAATTCAAATTTGCATATTGCATTCACTTCATAAATTATGAAGCATTGCTCTGCCCTACACAAAAGCAGTTAAGCTGCTTTTCTAAGTAAAAAAGTATCGGTATCTGTTATCGGTGTCGGTATCGCCAATATTGGCCCTGTATTTACTTGGTATCTGATCGATACCATATTTTGCAGTTTTGCACATCACTACTGTGAAGAGTCCGCCACTTAATGAAGATGACATGTGATGTGCGCATGTGCAGAAGAACGAGAAAAATGCACAAATTCTGATCTGACCACTCTGACAGCAGAAGAGATCGGATAGGAATCGCATCTAAAACTACATATGGAAGTGTTCCAGATCCGATTTGGTTTGTTCACACATCCGTGAAAAAAATCAGTGACTGTAGCCGGTCATGTGAATGTAACCTGAAGGACAGCTGTGCTGTGCCTGAATGAGGCACAGTTTGTGTTTCAAAAGTATCAAATAAATAATCAGGCTGATACACACAGTCTAATAACTTTGAACAGCCCTAGGTGTTTGTTTAAACTTTGAAATAGATATTATTTTTACCTGAAAAGTATTCTTTCCCCTCCAGAAGTAATCATCACATTTCATTTGCCATGAGCTGTCAGGGAAAAAAACTTCCTCTGACACCATAAAGATCTTGTCAAATGATCCCTGTGTGACGTTTCAGATGGTCTCTGCTGTATTACACGGGCTGACATTTCAATTGTTTTCCACTTGATCAGAGGGTAAATTAATTTGACATTTGGGCTGTCAGGCAGTTTGCTCGCTGTCAGGCCACCCTCACCGTTTCATTTTTCAAAGGAAACATGCTTGTCTTACGCCTTGTGAAGTGCTGAGATCAAATCAATAATCCTTTACCTTATTCCTGCTAACAATTTCTCTGAAGCCATTTGAAAACACATGAATCCAGCAGCTCAGATGTTACCTCAATACCTCCCTCCTCGGTGAATGATCTAGGACATTCCTATCCTGACACAGGACAGTACATATTTGATAGTGAATGATCTAGGACATTCCTGACACAGGACAGTACATATTTGATATCCTGTTAAACTTTCATCACTTAAGTATTTATCTGGTACATCTGCATTTGCCAAAACATATTGCAAGAATAAATTAGTGTGGAATTTAAACCTTTTAAATGCTTCTTAGAACACTCAAAATAGGGCCTATTTTGGCAGTTTTAAAGAACCATCAATTTGAAAATAAATATTAGGTTCGTAATTTTAAAGCGTTAATATAAACAAATCATTTAATGGGGAGTGTAGGGACATAAAAAGGACAGAAGTTAGTTGACTAAATAAAGGAAAAGTGTTTCTTTGCTGGGGGCAGTCTGAGTTTCTATTCTTAAATATCAAAGAGGTGAACAGTCTCAGGCCATTGCGAGTGCTGTGAGAGGATGCAGTACAAGAATAAAAAGAAAAAAAAAACTAAGATATTTAGTCACCAGAAGTCTCTGTGGGCAGAGTGAACAAGACTGCCTCAATGAAAGGCGTAGTCAAACCCCTGCTGGGACATTTCCAGTCAAGCATCAAAGTGGTCCATTGCTCCAACATCCACTGTGCTCACTCTGAACTGGAAACATGACCGCTGCTTCAGTCCCTTAATGTTCTCTGGGAAACCTAATGCCTGGTTTTGTTGCATTTGTTCAATGAACCGTGGCTCTGGCTACGACTGCGGTTCCCAAAGATTGAGTTCCAAGATGAACTGCGGCTGTAGCTCCTGTAGGAGGAGTAAGTGTGGCTCCGGCTGCGACTCCTGCTCCGGCCAAGGCTGTGGATCAGGCTGCGGCTGGGGGTGGGGGCGTGAGAAAAAAAAAAGTGCACCGACCGCTGGAGGAAGGACTTGGTCGGAAGTATGGGATGGGTCGCTTCCTGGCACTGTGGACAGCCAAAAAGGTAAATGCGTGCTGTAGATCTGATCAACCACAATGCAGGAATGTTAAAGGCAGTGTGTACAGTTGACTAAACTTTAAGGTTGCACTAAAGGATATTTTTGTATGGACAGTGGGTAAAACAACTATATGTAACTACAAGGGGTCATTAGTAATTACAAACAGAATTATTACCTGACTGTCCCTTTCAACTCTACAGAGCACTCTTTCAGTTCCTTGTTTTGGTTTTACATCAGCAATTTCAGTGTTTTGACACATCATCAGTGCCTTTTCCACCCACAGCAAGCAGCTTGTTTCAACTAAAAAGCTATAGTAGGTCCAAAGTAAGCTGCCTTCTCAACACAGAACAGCAGACTAAGTTAGCAACTAGCTGGTGAACACAGCTGAGCAGTTAGCAGCAATTGAGCAACATATTTCCTTCAGGAGGTGGTGAGCCCAAAACAAAGCTTACAGGCCTACTTTTGTCAGGTGTCCAAAAACACAACTTAAAACCAGACAGCATCCTGAGAACACAAACCTCCGCCAAGGCAGATGTTATGGTTAGTCCCCCTCACCAGGAGGGTGAGGGAGAACTGGGGTTGGACTCAAGATAGCTGACCCAGGTGCTAGTACAAAAAAAAGGTTTATTGGAAAAAACAACAACAACATAACAGGGTGTGTAATACTTACAACCAGGGAAGGACAACTAAGGAGACCAGGACGAACAGGTACACACAAA